TGGGCTCTCTCCTTTAGAATTTCTCATGAGGCTGTAATTAAGTTGTCAGCCAGGGCTGTGTTCTTGTCTGAAGTTTTGACTGGGAAAGGATCAACTGCCAAGCCCACTTGTATGATCACTGGCAGGATCCAGTTCCCATGAGCTGTTGGGTTGAGGGTTCATTTTCTAGCTGGCTGTTGGTCGGAGGTTGCCCTCAGTTCCTTGCCACGTGGACCTTCTTGATAAAACAACTTGCCTCATCAAAGCCAGCAAAGGAATACATCCACTCAACTACATCATGTAACCTAATCATGGGAGTGACAACTCATCACTTTTGCCATATTCTGCTGGTTTGAAACAAACTACTCAGCCAGCACCCATTCACAGGGAAGGGATAAAGGCCTAGATGTGAAGCCAGGATTGCTAGGGGCCATCTCAGAAGCTGTCCGCTGCAGTACCATTATAGGGAAAAAAAATTGAAGACATCTGTGTCCACAACCAGCTTATAAAAAGCTTTGTCCATAGGCAAGTGGCTGTTTTCACACAGGAAAACATCTGTTTCCATAGAGGCAGCAAGCGCGGTCTGGGCCTTACTCAAATCTACAAGCTTTTATCTGCTTGGGCAGCATTACAGAGCTGGCTGCTGCCAGTGCAGTTTTCCTAAATTGACCTGGCTGAGGCAAGAATTAGATTTCAGAGACAATCTTTTCACATAATGGCCTTTTAGATATTATATGAAAGAGTAACCATGGGGCTGTAATTTATTCCTCCCTCTTCAGGGATCTCTGAAGAAGTTTTGACACTGACCAGAATTCTTTGCAAATATCGACTCATGGAATACACTAACATAGAAGACAAATGAGGGTCCCGAAAGGGTTGGCTATATGCTGACTACTGATCTAGAAATGATTTCAGCATTACGTCCTGGTCCATTTAGACTGCTTATATTAAATTATCCTGCAAATCATGGGAAGCCGGGCTGAAGCACACAAGTTATACATATAACCGGAGCAAAGCCATATGTCTAGTGGAACTCCAGAACTCAGCAGCCTTCATGGCTAATGTGTCCCATGTGCTTGACATACTCCAACACCAAAATATGTCTGGCATAGAAAAGGAAGCTTAGGAAGCCGTATCTGTGGATTAGAAGCCTCCCAGATGTTGTGTATATTGCTTCTTCTGTCTCTTATCCATTGATAATTATGCACAAGCTTGGTGGTTCTGAAACAGTAGAAATGATAAAGGTGGAGGCAACTTTAGATTGGTTAAATGGCAATTGGGGTAATATATCTATAGTTTTTGACAGCTTTAATTGAGATATAATTGACATATAACAAATTGCATATATTTAAGTTTTGGCATATGTATGCATCCCTGAAATCATAAATACAATCGAGACAATGGATACTCATTTGATACCACTGACCCAAACCATGATAGATGCTATGATTAGGGGGATCCCTAAATTCATACTTTTCATGTATCATATTTTTAGCTAGTGGTCAAGAAGTACTCAAGAGACAGTAACCTCAGTTATTATGTATGGGATTAACTGGTAGCAGGAATGTACACCCTTCCCAAAAGAAAGGTGAGACTAAAGAGGGAAATTATAAAGAAGAAAGAAAGTAGTGATGCTTGACCTACTCTGCTGGAATTGTTCCACTGCTGCTGAAAAACGGGATGAAAAAGGGGGAATTGAGAGGATTTTTAGTAGGGTTTTGGCGGCCTAATCTTGAGGCTTGAGAGGTAAAAATCCAACTTCATTGTTGGCTATGACATGCATACCTTAAGAAGCCCCCTCAAAGTCACTGCATATAACTTAGCATGGATAAGTACAAATCCAATCATAAGGATTATGATTTGGAATGGAAAATACTTAAACAGGCTGAATGTAATCCCTCAGTTAAAGCCATATTTCTTTTTTATGTAAATTAAATAAGGGTTTGGGATCTGCCCACCACCCCTCAGTGAGGGAATCCAAAGAACTAGAAAGTGATGTGGATGGAATGGCTTGAGGGCAATAACTAAAATATGTGGAATTATTAACTCCTGGCAATCAGTCTACTGAAATCCACATAGGGGCTGGGAGGACAGTCTAAGAGGCCTAAAGGTAAAACTTGGAGAATGCTGAGATGCTGTGGTAGACAAGAACAACATAATAGTTAAACTCTAATTTGGAAAATACGACTGGAGAAAGTATTCTCTCATTTCACCTCCGTCACCTAAGTATATAACAGGGATGGGTGTCATGTGAGAATGGAGGACTCTGCCCCTACATTATTACACTGAATGTGTTCCATGTTCCATAGTCACCCTCCACCTGGTGTCACCTGAAATGATAAACGAGAATCTTTTCAGTTGCCTAAGACTTCCTCTCTAGAAAAAATTAAATAATACAGAGTTCCAGGAGAAAAAGAGAGCATTAATGCCTTAATTAGCATTAATGATAGAAATAGGGATATTGATCTCCATTAATTATTTTCCTTAATTGATAAATGAAAATTATTTATATTTATGGTATACAATGTGGAATTTTAATGTATGTTTAAATGTAAGTATAGCCACTATAGAGAACAATGTAGAGGTTCCTCAAAAAACTCTAATTAGAACTACCATATGGTAGTTTCAGCAATTCCACTTTTTGGTATATTCCCAAAGGAAGTAAAGTGAATATGGCAAAGAGATAGCTGCACTCCCAGGTTAATTGCAGTATAATTCACCATAGCCAAGACATAGAATCAACCCAAGTATCCATCAATAGATGAATAAAGAATACATAGTATGTATACACAACAGAATACTACTCAACCTTTAAAAAATCAGTAAACCCATTAATTCTCTTTTAATAGCCCTTACACACCAAAAAGGTAAAGCAGTCAGCTACACATACTGATAGTGGGCCACTGGGAGTTTGTCTAGGTAGATACAATATAGCCTTGGATATGCTGTAGACATAACTCAAAAAAACAGAAAGCAAAACCAATACAAGTACACCAAGTGGAAATGGATCAAAGGAGACCATTCAGTATAGATCTTAGCTCATGCTTTCTTTTCTACACCTATTTCAGAAGTCAGTCAAGGACACTGCCTCCACATATTAACAGGGCTTGCAAAAAGACATTGAAGTTAACCAGTACACTATCACAATCTAGGGTAGCTGCGCTTGATCTTGATAACCAGTAGGAGTGAGTTGATAACATCAATGATATCTTAATTGCCTCCTCAGAGGAAAAAGCGAAGTATACTTTAGAGACTGTGTCACCCATCTGTCAATAAAGCACGGCAGATAAACCCCCGTACAGTTCAAGACCTGCCCCAGTCCTAAAAATTTAGAAAAGAACATGAGCCAGATCAGAAGAGGCTTTCCTCCTATCATAAGAAATAATTTAGAATCTGTCTTGACCTTGTCACTAAACAGTCCAGAGACTGGAGAATCTGTTTGAGTTATGGCATAATCACATCTTCCACTCTGGGATATTGTTAGTCTTTTCCACAAAGTCACTAGAAAGAAATCTGAGATTGAATTGTGCCCTGACAGAAACAAGCAAATAAAAGATTTATAAAGGGCTGTCAATCAGGCAGTGTCTCTTGAGCCTTATGACCCGAATGCACAAATGATTGTAGAAGTGTCAACAACTGGAACACACACAGACTAGGGCTTTTGGCAGAAATCAATATTGCTGCTCAGTGGAGACGGCAGAGATTTTGGACTTGAAAGCAGTCTGATGCAGCTGCTTAATTCAGCCCTTTAGAAACATAATTGTGAGCTTGTTGTTAGGCATTGGCAGAAATTGGTCCTACATCAAGAGACCCGGCAATCCTGAAACCAGAAACACCCATCATGACTTGGGTGATGTCTGAGAAACACTCAAATTGAGGAAACACCTCAACGGAGCACACTGTTAAATGAAAATGGTGCTCAAGAGTACACTTTGGCTGGGGGTTCCAAAGTTCACAGCATTTATGAATAGATCTCTCCCTTGCATTTGGAGCCAATAGTAACCCTCCCTACCCTTTCCAGCCCATCCTGATCCACAGCCCAAGGATCTCCCTGCTGTAGCTGCTGAATTGTCTAAGCCTTTAAATTCTCCCCTGGCCATACAAAATAGTTGCTAAATGTACTGACTGGATTTCACAAGGCTGTTTCGGAAATTCAGCAGTTACCTGTCCTGCATATGCTAAATCCTTAGTGGGAGAAGGAAAAAGGCTGAAAGGGCATTTACATCATCCTGAAATCCACTCACTAAGTAGAGACATTAGAGGGAGCTATCTTTCAGGAGACAGGCTATGGCTGATGAAGCAACCTGAGAACAGATACTGTGCATTACTAGACTCATCAAACATCAAGCTTGCCAGCAACTCTGGGAAACAGCATCTGCCTTTACTCAGGGGATGTTTTAATAATAATAAAATCAGATGTATTTAACATACATTGGTCCTACTGACAAGATGTCAGTAGAAGTGTGCAGTCCAATAAGGTAGCTGCAAGCTACATGTGACTGTTGAGCATTTGAAGGGTGGCAAGTCCAAATGAGAACTGTCATATGCATAAAATGCATATGGGATTTCAAAGACAGTATGCATACGCATATAATACGTAATTATACAGCATATAATATATACTATGTATAATATATACTGTATAATATAATATGTAATGTATTATATATTTTATATAACATATATAACATATGCTATACATTTATATAACATATGATATATGTCATACGTTATATATAAAAATATACTATATATACTATATGATATATTTATGTATTATGACCATATAATATAATATATAATTATATTATATATTCTATAATTATACTATATATTATATAATTATATATAGTATATTATGTAATTATATATAGTATATAGTATATTGCTATATATTATATAATATATAATTATATATATTAAACAGGCTGAGTGTAACCCCTTATTATATAATTATATTGTAGACTATATATTACACATTATATATGTAATTAATACATAACGATATAAAATATACAGAATATAATTTATTCTGTCACTATTCTGGAGACGAGAAGTCCCAAATCAAGGTTTTCAAAGGGTCATGCTCCCTCTGCAGCCTTTAGGGCTCAGGGGATTCTTTCTTTCCTCTTCCAGCGTCTACATGCCCCAGGTGCTTCTTGATTTATGGCAGTATATCTCCAACTTTTGCTTCCATCTTCATATGGCCTTCTTCCCTCTGTGTCTGTCTCTCTCTCTCTTCTGATCTTATACGGATTCCAGTCACATTAGATGAAGAACCACTTTAATTCAGTATGACCCTATCTTAAGTTGATCACATCTGAAAAGACCCGATTTCCAAATAAGGTCACAGTCACAGATACTGGGGGCTAGGACTTAAACACATCTTCTTGGGGAAACACAATTCAACTCATATCGACACTCTAGTAGGAATCCCAAACAGGTTAACTGTGTCAAGGGTCTTCAAGACCAGCGCCCAGTTCAATGACCATTAGAAGAATTCACAAGATTCATGGCCAAGGTTTATTACACGGAAAGAATACAAAGCATAATCGACAAGGAAAAAAAGGATTATGGGGAGAAGTCAGTAAGAATCAGGTGTAAGATTCCAAGAGTCTTTTTCCAATAGAGTCACACAGGTGTGCATAATTCCTCCAGCAGTGAGTTGTGACAACACGTGTGAAATATTGTCTACTGGGAGGCTTTTTAGAGACTCAGTGCCCAGGGTTTTTATTTGAGGCTGGTCTTGCAGGTACCCACTGCTTATCATATACCAAAATTCCAGACTCCCAGAAGGAAAGTAGATGTTTAACACACACCACACCATTTGCATAGTCTAGTCACAATGAGTCATCCTTATTATTTAAAGGAAGTTTATGTCAGTGGAGAGAACTCTTGATCACCTTCATTCCCAGATGACAGCCAACCTTGTATGCAGGCTTTTCTAAGGATAGTAGTGTCAGGTTGGCTCTTTTAGTGTCAGACTTTTCTGCACACTGACAAAAGAGAAAAGTCAAAAGTTATTTTAAAAAAAGTGTTCTCCATCTCGAAAGCCACCTGGATCATTTAGTTAAATCATACAAGGATCTTACAATGTTCACATCATAACTATTCTATGAAACAGAACATGTTAGACAAGAACTGGCTAATTTAAGCAAATAATCATGATATCCAAATTAATAAACATCAAAGGTGGTCTTTTTATTATATGATATTCATTATTGTTATTAAAAACTTCTATTTTGGATTCCTTTTCATAAATTTCTTTCATATGAAGTCATATTCCGAATTGTGAAACTCTTACATCTCTTCTTTTACAAATCAGAGCTTTAATAACACAATAATCTAAATCATATGTTCTCTGTAGGGGCAACATCTTACCCAAGCAAGAAAAAAATGGTTCCTGGGGAAAAAAAACTTACTCTTTTTATGTACAAAACAATAGATATGCATCAATACACACATAGATAAATAGATATCTGTGGTATTAAAATTCCATAGTGGGAGACAAGAGTAAAACAATTTAATAAATTATCTCATACAACTTTCCATTTATTCTATTTATCTATCTATCATCTATTTTTCTAGCACTATATATCTGGAAGGACTCAAATCAAGTTGTTACTGTTACATCTGACTAGTGGGATCAGGGTGAATATAAGAAAAGACTCAATTTTTACACTTTGTGCTTCCTTTTACAATGATCATTTGTATATAATAATGTAATAAACATAAAGTCACTTAATCAACTGAAAGAATCAGTAAAAGACACATCCATTTGTCTTGAAGAGACATCCATTTCAGTTATACATATGGCGAAATTTAGAACTTCTTAACCAAATCAATGAATCCATTTGAGGTGAAAAACATCAATATGGAGTTTCCTAGTTGAAGGAAGAGATTGACTAAAGAAAAGCTAAAACCCAAGATACAGTGTAATCAAGTGAGGCTGTATTTTGAAGAAAAGAGCTGTCAAATATTACCTATTTCAAAAGTGTCATTGGGTCAAGCTTTACAGATGAGACAACATTTTCTGTTTGATGCACACACACACACACACACACACGCAGACACACACACACGGACTCAAGAAATTGGCTTGTGGCAATATGAAGTAAAGTTTTAAGATAACTGGCATAAATGTAAAACTTTATTGGATTATTTCTGAATTAACTTAGTGATACAGGAGTGCCAGGAAGGAGAGTGTGGTCCCTTTAAATTATATGGAAGGTGGGGAAGGCAAGTGCTGGGTAGAGAAGGGTGGGTCCCTAGCTAGGGCTCCACCCCCAGGGACTTAGGTGAGGGCAGGCATTTCCTGCCCAAATGTTGCATTTCCCAAGACCACCCTGGTCTGCCACACCCCCCGCCCTGGGCCTATAAAAACCCAAGACCGTAGCGGGCAGAAATGTCTGGACGTTGTGAGGAACACGTGGGAGAAAGAAGACACAATTGGCTGGCTGGGGAAGTCGGAGGATTGCTCAGCAGTGACTCTAGGGGAAAACCATCTCCTTTCTGGCTCTCCCATCTGCTAAAAGCCACTTCTACTCAGTGAAACCTTGCACTCATACTCCAAGCCCACGGATCTGATTCTTACGATACATCAAGGCAAGAAACCCCGAGATACAGAAATCCCTTTGTCCTTGTGATAAGAAATGGGGTCTAACTGAGCTGGTTAACACAACCTGTCTGTAGATGCAAACTAAGAAAGCACCCTGTAACATGTGCCCACTGGGACTTCAGGAGCTATAAACTATCTCCCCTATACATTGCTGTGGGTTTGGAGCCCCACAGTCTGCCCGTCTGTGTGCTCCCCTAGGGGTTTGAGTAGCGGGGCACTGAAGAAGAGAGCCACACCCCCATCGCATGTCCTGCCAGGGGGACAAGGGAACCTTTCCCATATCAATAGTAATACCTATAATGGTCCATCATTTGACCATGAGATAATGTATAACATCTTCTGGAGTATCCCTAAATATTTTTCAAGATAACAACAAAAAAACTCAAGGAATTACAGAAAAGAGAAGCAACTGGATTTTGGGGGATTGGCTGTTTTCAAGGGATTTAAAATTTGTAATAAGATTCTCATAGCAAAGAGGTTTTGGGTCTCATCATGAGAAAGTAAAACAGATAATAGAATATGAGACTGTCCCCATAATAAATCACTGACTAAAAACAAACCTGAGTATAAGTAAGAAATTTTCTTCTTTCAAATTCAGGGAAGGGTGTTGGGAACATTACAATTAGGAGAATTATTACAAAGCTTATGTATTCCAAAGCTCATCCTGAGAATTCTGTTTAGAAAGATTTTTCAGATTAATTCACCCTATTATAACTACATTGATACTTTCAGCATCATTTACAATTCCTGGTTTAATTAAATGTGTATATTTAATTAAATATATTTGTATATACTTATATATCTATGTCTGTATTGAATCTTGGTTTCTCTACGTGAAGAAATCTGATTGTACTATTAAAATAAACTTTGTGCTTTTTCTTCCCCCATCTAGAAACGTTCCATATTGAAATTCTGTATAAACTAAACACTATCTGTTCTACTTAACAATAATTTCTGTTGTGTATTTTTCTCTTCCACTTATCAACACATTTTATAATGCCAGCATTATACCAAAACAAGCCAAAAAATATGATATTTAATAGAGTACAGACCAATCCCTCATATACATAGAAATGAAGAATCTTTTCAGAATTTTAAAGGGCACCTGTGAAGAATTTACAGATAACAGCATTCCCAGCAATGAAAGACTCTGGATTTTCCTTAAGATCAGTAACAAGGCAAGAATTTCTCTTTTATAACCTGTATTCAACATTGCGCTGGAAGTGTAACCAGTACAATAAGGCAAGAAGAAGAAAAAGAACACAGAGAATGGAAAGAAAGTAACTATCTACAGATGGTTGCCTGTCTTCAAATTGCCTTTTCTGAAAGAACTTTTAAGTTCCAATAAAAACTTAAAGGCAAAATAGGTTATGGGTTTAATCATTAGAAAGTAAGACAGAAATGAAGACAGAAGACATGATTGTGTATAGAGAAAATGCTAAGGAAGCTATTTTAAAAGCTGCTGCTAGAACTAACATGGGAAGCTAATAATGTAACACAACGAAATACATATATTCTTATAAGAATTGTAAATTCAAATTTAAAAAGAATGGTTTATTGTAGCATCCAAAAACTTAAAATAATAGGAACAGATTTAAAATTGATATAAGAACTGTCTTATGATAAATGGAAAAAGCACACTGCATAGAGAAATGAAAAAAGATGAAAGTAAATGGAGAGATACAATGTTCTTGAGAATCAGCAGGCTAAGTATTGTGAAGACCTCAGTTCTCTTTAAACCAATCTCAGTTCTCTTTAAACCAAACATTCAAGGCAATCCCATGCAAAGATCCTACAGACTTTTTAATAGAAATGGATGAGCTAATTCTAAAATTTATATGGCCATTCAAAAGACCCAGAAGATGCAAAAACACTGTGTACAATAAGAACAAGGTGGAGGGACTTACACTATCTGATTTCAAATGTATATTTATAGCTACAGTAATCAAAATGGTGTAGCATTGGTGTAAAAAAAGTGTAAAAATAGATCAATGAAAGAAAAAAGAGCGTCTAGGCCGGGCATGGTGGCTCACATCTGTAATCCCAGCACTTTGGGAGGCTGAAGAGGGTGGATAACCCGAGGTCAGGAGTTCGAGAACAGCAGGCCAACACGGCGAAACCCTACCTTTACAAAAAATACATAAATTAGCTTGGTGCGGTGGCATGCACCTGTAGTCCCAGCTACTCGGAAGGCCGAGGCAGGAGAATCGTTGGAACCTGTGATGGGGAGGTTGCAGTGAGCCAACACTGCACCACTGCACTCCAGACGGGGCGACAGAGCGCGACTCCGTCTCAAATAAATAAACAAAGGAAGAAAGAAAAGAAAGTGACTAGAAATACGCCCATGGGTATAATAACCGATTTTCAACAGAGCTGCCAAGATAATTCAATAGGGAAAAGGTTTTCTTTTCAACAAATCCAATGAAAACAATTAGATGTCCAAATGAAAAATAGAAGAACTTTGTTTCTTATCTCATATCATACACAAAATTACATAAAAATAGATGCAGTTGAAACACTGAAAGGTAAATTATAAATATAACTTCTAGAAAAGATTATACAATATCCTCACAACATTCATGAATGCAATGATTTCTAAATAGAACACAAATCATTTTTAAAATCTGATATTTGAAAAGCGTAAATAAGTAAATGAATTACAAAATAAAAAATTAGATTTTATCAAAATTGTATGTCTAAACTTCAATAAGACAGTAAAAATTACATAATTGGGTATATCAAGAATAGATTATAAATTACATTATAAAGTAGATTTATATATCATTAGATTTCATATCAAGAATAGATGATGCATTACATAATTGGGCACATCAAGAATAGATTAATAATCCTGACGACTGTAACTCAATAACAAAGCAAACTACCTAACTTTAAAATGTGCAACTTGTTTGATCAAATAATTTACAAAAGAAGATTTATAAATGACCAATACACATGAATATGATCAATATCTGTAATCATCAAGAAAATGCATATTAGCATAATGAGATTTCTCTAAGATACCTGAAACTCAGAAGTCTGGCAATTTCGAGTGTTCAGAAGCACGCAGAGCAAAGGGAAATCTTCTACATGTTTTATGGGGATGCAAAACTGGAGAACTACTCTGAAAAACAGACTGGCAGTTTCTTATACATATGTTTACTATATGTATAAATGCCTCATCAGTTTTACCTCTAGAAATCTACCCAGGAAAAAATGAAAACTTATGTCCACACAAGGATTTCCACATAATCGTCTACAGCACCTTTATGTATTAATAGACCAAAATCAGAAATACTCCAAAAGTTGACCAAATGGCGAATAAATAAATACTAGTATATCAAAACAATAGAACATATTTTTACTTAGCAATAAAGA